CCAGCATTTGGCCCATATCCCTCTAAACCCTTCCTATTCATGTACCCTTCCAGGTGCCTTTTAAATGTTGTAATTGTACCAGCCTCCACCACTTCCTCCAGCAGCTCATTCCATACACACACCACCCTGTGCATGAAAAAGTTGCCCCTCAGGTCCCTTTTAAATCTTACCCCTCTCACCTTCAATCTACGTTCTCCAGTTTTGGACTCCCCTCCCCCAAGGAAAAGACCTTGGCTATTTACCCTATCCATGCCCCTCATGATTTTATAAACGTCTATATGGTCACCCCTCAGCCTCCAATGCTCCAGAGAAAATAGCCCCAGTCTATTCAGCCTCTCCCTATTGTTCAAACCCTCCAACTCCAACAACATCCTTGTAAATTTTTTCTGAATCCTTTCAAGTTTCACTACATCCTTCCTATAGCAGGGAGACCAGAACTGAATGCAGTATTCCAAAAGTGGCCTAACCAATGTCCTGTACAGCTGCAACATGAACTCCCAACTCCTATACTCAATGCACTGACCAATAAAGGCAAGTATACCAAACGCCTTCTTCACTATCCTGTCTACCCGTGACTCCACTTTCAAGGAATTATGAACCTGTGCTCTAAGGTCTCTTTGTTTAGCAACACTCCCCAGCACTTTACCATTAAGTGGAAAAGTCCTGCCCTGATTTGCCCTATCAACATGTAGCACCTCACATGTATCTCAATTAAATTTATCTAGATTATCAAGATGTATCTAAATAAATTGGCCACCACCACGGGACTGACTGCACTTTAAGAGGTATCTGTGACAGTAAAGCACTTTGGCATTTACTGTGGATGTATGCTATAGATGCGAGGTTTGTCTTTCTTGTGAGCACAAACTGGGCTTTCCAAATTAAAAAAGAGGCATTTCTTCACCCTGTAGCAAGCAGACAGTCTCACTGACTGGTCTGCTTTCTGTCAGCAGAGGAAACCTTTCACACATTTTATTGTCTACCTTATAGAAGACGCCTTCACGTCAGCACAGCCATAGAGTTCAAGTAGCATCTTCTATTCATGATGCTGCTAAATCCAGTAGGGGCATCATGGGCTGAATGGCCTCCTTATGTGCTGTCTTCTAGTCTGTTGTGATTTGTCTGAATTGCACAATTGTATCAACCAAATGTTTACATTAACTTTATGGATTAGAAGCAGGTAATTTAGATCCTCTTGCCTGGCCCATCACAGCTGATCTAATTTTGGCCTCGATTCATAGAATTTTTTTTTTCATAGATTCAAGAATCCCAACCGTGTGGAAACAAGCCATTCGGCCCAACAAGTCCACACCGCCTCTCTGAAGAGCATCCTACCCAGACCCATTTCCCTACCCCTACCCCTACATTTCCCCATGTCTAACCCACCTAACCTAAACATCCTGGGCACTATGGGCAATTTAGCACGGCCAATCCACCTACCCTACACATCTTTGGAGTGTGGGAGGAAACTGGAGCACCCATAGACAGTTGCCCGAGGCTGGAATCAAACCTGGTTCCCTGGTGCTGTGAGGCAGCAGTGCTAACCACTGAGCCACCGGGCCTTCCTCTAGTATCCTCTGACATTTCAGACAATTAAAATCTACCTAACACTGCTTAAAACTATTCAATGATCATCCACTTCCACTGCTGTCTGGGAAGGGAAAGTGCAGAATAACAACAAAGAGAAAAAAAATCACTTCTGTCTGAAACAGGAAGCCCCTTATTTATAAACTGTGTCCCCTGTGTCATCTGTCCCACAAGGGCAGCCATTCTTTCAGAATCCACTATCTTCAGATACTCTCAGGATCATTTACGTTTCAATAAGATCACCGCTCATACCTCTGAAATCCAATGGATAAAGGCACAAATCTATCCAATCTTTCCTCCCAAGATAACCTGCTCATCCCAGGAATTAGCCAAGTGAAAATTCTCTGCCATACTTGTCATTTAATTAAGTCCTTTCTTAAATAAGCAGATTGCACCGAGTACTGTAAATCCTGTCTTGACATTGTGCTTGTGTTCCTGCAAATTGCAACTTTGAGTGAAATGGCCCTAAGCGAATCTTAGATTCCCATAGGAATCAACGTTAAAGTCAGAATTCGGTTCCCTCAGACACATTTTGCCTCAAAAAGAAAACATACAGATTGAAATATTGTATCATTATATTGTATTATATTGTATCTTGTTGTGAACTCCCCAACAAAGTCTCTTGCAAACACAATGTACATCACTAAATATAAAAGAAACAATGCATCATGAATACTTCATTATATATTTAAAAATAACATTTAAACTTTGCTTTTTAGACAGACCCAGCCTTGTTTTCTTCACTTAGTCAGGGGATGTGGGTGTCACTGGCTGGGTCAGTATTTATTGCCTGTCCCTGACTGCCCTGGACAATGAGGTGGTGTAGCAATTGTGATGAGATCAGCCAGGGGGACCTTATAGAATCTGAGTTCCCTGATTGGGGCTGTTAATCTGGTCCAGTCAGGGAGTCCCGGCTGACAGCTATAAACAGGAGTGTCAGAGGTTCTGTTCACTCTGAGAGCTGGCTCTGAGGGAGCTGGACCAGTGTCACATACTATGCACATGTAAATAAAGGGTGACCTGGTGACAGAATACTGGCCTTTCTGGAGTTATTTCAGGTGGTGAGCTGCCTTCTTGAACCACTACAGTCCCTGGCACATAGGTACACTCACAATGCTATTAGGGAGGGAGTTACAGGATTTTGACCCAATGACAGAGAAGGAACAATGACA